AAGACCATTCCTCATGCTAATCGAGCATGCAGAATTAGTTTGTATATATTTTAATGAGTTACTGGAAATGTAGTGCATATGTAAACTTTTTACTGGAAATGTAATACATATGTAAACTTTTATGTCATGAATATGTATGTGTAAGGCACATATAAGCTATTGCCAACCGCTAATATTTTGAGTATTTGCTTTAAGAAATGTTTTCATGTTTGCTCCCAGCGCTGAATTAAAAAATGTCTAGCTTTCTAGCTCCTACAAATTGGTCTTAGAAAGTTAGTGATCCCACATTGCTGTAACACAGCTGCTCCTGAGAGTCAGCCAGCCTTGCCTTTGATGAGGATGCACTTTCACTATCCTTACTTCAGTGGGCCCATATCTGGAGTCTGTTTGCAAGACACTTAGTTCTCATAGTATGCCTTTAAAAAGGGATGTCCATGTTTATGTTGCTCAATATAGTGTGTTCTGTACTAACCAACAATTTGCATGTTGTTATTATGGTCATCTATAGAGCAGCCCAATTTACAAAATCTGGCTATTGTATTGTCCTTGCTCAGCATTGCTGACTGACACTGGATTACACTGAAAGCAGATAGATGGTATCTTTTGCCTTGGAACAAATGAAACAGCAGTATGATGAACAGTTTATTCACTACATAGTAAAGACTACTTTTGTAGCATGTGCTATTGCACCTGGTGAGTCATGGTAGCTTTTATTTTTTTACAAGATACATGGCTCTTAGTTTTGTTTTAATCTTTGTCCTTTTGTAACAACACTAGTGATAAGACTTTTTTGGGGACTGAGTTAAAATTATGAACTTGAAATTTGTTAAAGATCTCCAAAGTGTTTATTCCTCTTGTCAACAATTTGCATTAACACTAGAGATGGGAAAAGTGTTTGCTTTAGTTTCCGTGTAAGGTTCCGAGCGCCCTAGAATAATCCCATAATGATGTTTTGAAACCCCTTATTAGAACTGTCACCATATTTAGAAAGATCTAGGAGCTGCAGAAACAGAACATTTTATTATAAGGTTAGAAAATACGACAGTGTGTTTAAGTCCAGAATGTCCTTGTTCGAGCTTGAAAGAACTCTGCTTTGTGTAATTATTAAACACACCTCTGAATTACATAAAGCAAAGCTTTTCCTAATCCAGAGTCTACTCTGTGTGTGTGTTCATGTTCCTTACAGACTTACCATAAATGTCACAGTCACTATAAATGGGGGAGTTTGCTGGGGACAGTCCTCTTCTGCAGATGGCTGCTGTCTCCAGGTCTAGCTCATTCAGTATTTGAGGCTTAACCCTCCCCTGTCGCTGACCATCGTGTTTTTGTTGGCATACAGCAGGAAACTGCTGTTAGAGCTGAGTATAATTTTGATTGCTTTATTATCGTTGTTTATTTCATTTTTTTATTTTAATCATTATATTGTTCTTATTTCAGCCCATGAGTTTTCTCACTTCTACTCTTTTGATTCTCTCCACCTAGACAGTATCAGTTATGGTCTGTGAAATAGAGCCATTTTCTATGAAAGGAGCATGGATTTTTGTACAATAACATGGTCCAGTGCAGTAAGTTATGGCAAAAGGGCAATACTCAGCAACACATATCAAATAATCACTCAGGGAGCATTTATCTAGTGCCAAGAGTCAGAACACCATGGAAAGTGGATTGGTGGGAGCTCTTGTCACCAAAATTGGGAATAGAAAAACCTCTTAACACCAATGTAGCATTAAGAAGCAGGCATTCTTTATTCGACGTCGGGTGCGAGGGGCGTTATTGATTCCGTCCAAACTTGCACGAGTATGGCCACTTTTGTTAGCATATTTATACACAAAAGTTTCAGGATTTCACAATCTGGCAGAAAATACCCCTTTAATTTGCATTCCAATAGCTTAAAATACATCCTGGACCCATTTATGGAAAAATACCTCATTTGATGTAACATCTGATATGAGGCTTCAAAATTGGGAAATTAGTAGGACTATCAATTTTGGAGCAACATATATTGTAGAAAAAAGGAATGGAACCCAAATATTGGGAAAAAAAAGGTTGGCCAGACCCTAAAGAAAGAGGATGGTATTGGCTATGTGGGAATAAAGCTCGAAAAGTATTGCCTATTAATTGGACAGGAACCTGTACTCTGGGGGCTTTAAACCCCAATATCACAGTGACTAAAACTATAACTGAAAATTCTTGGTTAAGAACACATCTGAAAAGAACTAAAAGAGTACCATCCAATCCATTGATCGAAAGACATACTGGATTCCATTCTTTTGCGAGATGGTTTTTACAGGAAGAAATTTCAGCGATTGGGAGGATAGCTACTCCTAGATATGTTGCTAGCCTCTCAAGGAGGGGTGTGTAAAAACAAACAAACAAAAAAAGAGTAATGCTGAAAGGTTTGGAGTCCCTTTCCACATCTTTTGTTTCCCCCTTCCAACTCCCCAAAAGGACTTCCTTCGTATTTCAGCACTCAGAGCAGAATAGTCTTTATATCTTTTTTTATGTATATATAAAAAAAATATTTTAAGATGGCCTCATCAGGGTAAAGGAAAATTAGAAGATGCTCAAAATAGCCTTTCTCTATTCAGAACTCTAAATTGAACTATTTACCTTGCTTAAGGCAAACTAAGCTACAAAAGCACTCAGTTATAGCTAAAATAATCCACTGAGATACCAGTCAAATAAATAATAGACAACTATTTACAGAATGCAGTGTCCAAAACAGAAATTGGATGGTATTAATGCTAATTTTATTTGGTGGTCTTAGTTTGACCTTAAAAGGGCATGCTTTGTTCTACACTTGAAAATGGACTCTTAAGTCTACTTAACGTATACTCTTCTGACATTTTCTAGCACTATTCTTAAATTGATTCTTAAAACTTCTACAAAACTGATGTTGCATGAATTGAAGATTGTATTTTCTCCAAACTTTAATATTACATTTTTCTGAGATATGGAAACTTTGCAAATAAGTTATGCGTATTATGATGCACTAAAAATGCAGTTCTACATACTAATTCCTTATCTGGCCAATTGTATCGTTATTGGAAAGAGAAAAATTTTACTCAACTTTAACCTTTGTCCTGCACAGACCACTTGCTACCTCATTCGAAGGCAGACATGGCAGTGTGCGCTATTGGGTGAAAGCCGAATTGCATAGGCCTTGGCTTCTACCAGTAAAATTTAAGAAGGAATTTACAGTCTTTGAACATATAGATATCAACACTCCTTCATTACTGGTAAGAACTGACAGAATTACTCATTCTTTTTCTGGCATAAAAATAATGAAGTATAACAAGTGAAGCAACATCAAAATGTAATTTTACCTAATATTTATTTGCTAGTTTAACTACACCTCTTTTAGGTATTATATCAGTTTAGCAACTCTTTAACTGCTGTTATTTTGAAGGCGAAGTTATCCTGTACTTGGAGTTGCTTGATTCTTTTTTTTTTTTTGTGATACATAAAATGCATTTGTCAATTGATACTAAATTGATACTAAATTGATACTTCTAAATTGTAGAATCTCATTAAGGAAAAAAAAATTGGTGAACTGTTCCTCTTATAAATTATAAATAAAGAATAATCTATGGAAGGAACAGTACAACTCTTAATATTTTAGTGAGGGCCTGCTAACTTAAAAATGCAAAGTAAAAAATTTACTGCAGTGCATCATTTATAACTTCCATATGGATAGCTTTTTACTCATGGGGAGAAATTATCACAATTCTGTATAATCCTTTCCTGAAACTTCATTTTACTAAAATAACTTTAATATCACAACTGAGGATTTGATTTCAGCCTGGCCTAAAATTCCTTTATTTTTCCTAGAGGAAAAAAAATTAGAAGTCCATTGAAAAAGGTTTCTTGTGCATATGGGTGAAAAATCGGGCTTGCAAAGGGACCTTGCACAAACTCTGATTTGACTTTAATGGGCTTTGAATCAAGCCCTAAATCTTGATGTTTTGTGAAATAAGTCTTTTTAATATAGATGAAACAGGATTATTCAGAAACTGAGGAAATAGCAAGACTCAAGGTTACAGTAGTTTAGCTTAGTTATTTTGTTTCTGAAATAAAGCTTAATAGAGAGTGCAAAGATCTTATTTACTGTTAGTTAAATGAAAAGCTCTGCAACATTATGTTTGGATGTGTATACTATGAAGCCTTTTGTTTTAATCTATACAGTATTTATTTTTAATATTAAAAACTCTTTTAAGTATGGGTGTAATATGGAGGATAGCAGAAAAAAGCAATACTAATACAGCAATGGAATTAGGACAAACATTGTATCTGTATAATGCTGTTTAAATTCCTTGAGACTCTTCCTATGACAGTAGCTTTGTTTATCAAAATAATAAGTGCTTATTAAAAAGATTATTTTCCTGTGTTGATTTAAATACCAGAATATATTTATGGAGTTTCTCATTTAATGGACAGTACTTTTCTCTTCTTGCAGTCACCACAAGCAGGCACAAAAGAGAAGACTCTATGTTGTTGGCTTTGTACCTCAGGCCCAATATCTCTAAGTGCCAAAATTGAAAGAAAGGGCTACACCCCAGGTATGTAATAGAAGTAATTATAGGATATGTTTTTCTTTCCTTTTTAAAGCTAGAGTTTGTACTTACTGTTTTTATCGAAATGAAACATTTAGGTTATTTTTACCACTTCATTCTGCATTTAGCAATCTTCTTAGTATACTCTGTTAACTAAGACAGCAGTACTTGTATTTCTAGCTTGCTAAAGGACTTCATCTATTAGACTGGTATGTTTTGCGTGGTTTTTTTTTTTGTGGTGGTGTGTTTTTTTTTTTTCCCTTTTAGAACAGCTCATGAGGATGTTGCTTCTGTTAGCATCAGTGGATATTTTTTCAGGTAGAACAGTGATAGCAGCGTTTGGTGTGTTACAACACTATACAGAATGTGACAGTTTGCTTAAGCTGCCTTGTAAATGTGAAGAGAACTTGAAATTCTTTTTTTGTCGTCGTTGTTTTTTCTTCAGGTGAATCAATTCAGATCTTTGCAGAGATTGAGAATTGCTCTTCCCGTATTGTGGTGCCAAAGGCAACCATTTACCAAACACAGGCATTCTATGCCAAAGGGAAAATGAAGGAAGTCAAACAGCTTGTTGCCAACCTTCGTGGGGAATCCTTGTCATCTGGCAAAATAGAAACCTGGAATGGCAAACAGTTGAAAATTCCACCCGTTTCCCCTTCAATCCTTGACTGTAGTATAATCCGTGTGGAATATTCACTGATGGTATGTTGGGTGATCTGTTTAGCTCTTTACAATGAGTAGCTTCCAACATTCCATACAAATTCCTAGCATAGCATTTTGTGATAACATGTATTTCTTTAATAACTAATTCTGGTATTAGTGTCCTGACAGGAGATCTGGCAAGTAAATTTAGTTTAAATCATGCAAGTTCTTAACAGTTGTGCGTCAATTAAGCAAGCATTTAGTGAGTAGACTACGTTTCCATGTGAGAGCTTATTTTAAGACTCTTCTTTTAACTTTAAGAGCTTTAATGTCTCCGTAGGGGCATCGGCCCTAAAATAGACTATTAGAAACAAGCTCCTAATGGAAACTTCCATAGAAAGACAACTTAGAGTAATACTTATGAAGTGCTGATAAAACCTCACGTTTTAATCATATGCTTGTTTCATTTTTCTTCAGGTATATGTTGATATTCCGGGAGCATTGGATTTATTCCTTAATTTACCACTGGTCATTGGTACCATTCCTCTCCATCCATTTGGTAGCAGAACATCAAGTGTGAGCAGCCAGGGTAGCATGAACATGAATTGGCTTGGTCTGACATTGCCTGAAAGACCAGAAGGTAACTTGACAATACAAATCCCAATCAATTTGCTAGTCTGTTTTGATTTTTGTCCACTTTATGCATTGTGGTCTTGCTAACCAAATTATATATTACATCCTTTAATAATAAAGCCCACAGGGCATCTGTTGTGGATGTTTTCTTGCCACCTCCTTGCCCTATGTAGAAGAACAGAGTTTCTTCCCTCCCTGCCATTCTGTTTCTAGGGCAGGCAGTGAAATCCAGCTGCCTTGGAAGGTGGCAGAAATGAAAACACGGGATGCCATTATATCTGTGCACAACTTCATTACTTCCACCTCCAGTATACCAATCCCATCCTTGTTTATAAGGCATTGCAACCCATAATAGCAGTTTCTGGGGTCTCTCATCGGCCTTAGTAGCCAAGGCTTTGTGAAAAGATAATATTCTTTTCTATGAGAAATCTCTTACGGCCAAAGAAAAAAATTGTTTTTCATTCCTTTTTTTTTTCACTTTTCCTGAGCTCTGTGAGTGCCACGGAGTGTGGTATTCCCACTGTATGTCTAATGATTGACATAATAATTTTATTATTTTGGAAGCAAAGTGTGTGCCCTGATCAAAATCAATATGCTGGATTATCCCATATCGTGGTATTAAATGTTCTAATAAAATTTTCACCACCATCTGTGCCGTAGCTCGTGCTACAGGGTAAGCTCCTACCCATTGTGTTAAATGATCCACTATTACCAATAGGTGTTTTATTCTCCCTATCTTAGGCAATTCAGTAAAATCAACTTGTACTCTTTCAAAACATCTGTAAGCTGTTTTCCTTCCTCCCGTGGCT